CCTGCACGCGTAAATCGAACCTAGAACTTTCGGTACCGGACGTGAATACCTACGCACTAGATTACTCAGTATGCATCAAACGGTGTCAACGTTTGATTTCAATAGAACCACGATATTAAACTACCATCTTGTATTATCTCTGGTAGATAACTACCTGACACCTGATACCGTCGAACTGCACATTTTTCCGTATGTCGACTGGATTATGAAGACATCCATATATTAGGAGAACCATGGAATACAGTGGACACCCTGGACACAACTGGATGTTTTAAATAGTGACGATTATCTGGAGCTTCTGTCTCGTCCAGTGTAATAAATGAAAAAAAAGACAGCGTCGTAGCTCCCTTCACATCAATAGGCCCCCTCATTTACAAAAGAAAAAATCAGATCCTGAAATGCATCAGTCAACTTCAACGAAATCGTCATTGATACCGAAGCTCTGGAAGAGGAGGAAGCCTACAGCATCATTGATAAACGAGGAAGATCCGATGCAGATGCATAAGCAAGGATTACCAAGTGAAGTAGATTGTTTACATGGTTAAAGGATATTTGGGACTCTAAAAGACTATCGACCAACATCAAAGTTAAAATCTTAAGCACAAACTATAATAATATTCGACTGTATGTGTCTGAAAGTTGATGATCTGCAATAGCGATCATTAGAAAGCTACGAGTATTTATAAACGGCTGTCTACGCAAGATGCTTCAGATCTATTAGCCGGATACCGCCAGCTATAACCTACTCCGGCAGAAAACAGCTAATTTTCAGCTGGTGAGGAAAACAGGGAAAATTTACTGGAAGTGGATAGGTCACCTCCTGTTAACATCACCAAACGCCATCAAAACATTAGCTCTAGCCTCGAATCTTCAAAGTAAAAGGAAAAGAAACAGACCTAGAAATTCATGGAATCAAGAATCGAAGGCAGATATCATGGAATAAACCGAACATGGTAACAAATAAAAAAAGGAACTCAGGACAGATTTGACTAGAGATTCCATGCAGACGGACTATGTCCCATGATGAGTAGTAGGTTTAAGTATATAAACAATAATATGATGTAATGGTAGGTAATGTCAACCAGTTTAGGGTTTTTGAAATGTTTATTTTTTCGCAATTGTCAGCTTAAATACAAGTTGACAAGCTGAAAAGCACATCAAAGCTAAGCTGAAGATGAAGTTGCGAATCGTAAGAACCGTAAAACCCCTTCTCTGTGGTTTTTATGATGCTGAACATCATCGTTGGGATAGTCAAAAAATTCAGCGATCAGGTTTACAGAAACCAAAAGGTAGGCTGAAAGCACTTTTTACAATCAGTAAAAACCACGAGAATAATATGACTGATTGACTACTTACTCTATTACCTTGAAGCAAAGCTTTCTTCCTTACTTTATGCCTCGTTTCTACCATCTAGCGCTTTGATATGGAGGAATTCCGATGATTCAGAAGTGGCTAAAAATTCAGTATCAAATGTGTTCAAGTAACAGTTTTAACAATCAAAAAGATTAATTATTTATATATGACGAAGTAGTAGGATATATGGTTGGAATATATATCACCCAGTTTAAGAATGTCTTTGATGAACTACATTTGAATTGGAAAATCGATTTCTATACAGTCTGTATGAAGGAAACTTGAAGCCTATTGATACACTGTATTATTTTCGATAGTATCTTTTAATGAGAACCCGTTCAAGAAGCCCAGTTACAAATGCATGACCATCGTAAAGGTTCATTTAATAATTACAACAAGTTAATTCCTGTAACAACATTAACTGACTAAATATAACAATTGACCACTGATTTAATTTGGCGATTTAATGACAAATGAAGATTTAACTCTTACTTAGACTATTAAATTTTTTAAACACAGTTTGATCTTTTCAAATTTTCATATTCAAATTCTGTAGCATTTTGAGTAAATGATTTAGTGTCTACACAGTGTTTGCACAGTAGTCAATGACTAGTTAACTATGCTGTTACTTTCTTGTAGTTCTTTTTTTTAAAGCTGTTTCTTGATCCCTGTAACAAACTATTCTATTTTCAACTAATTTTTTTTAGAAATAACAATGAGCTTTTCTTATTCTCGGATGAGCAACATCAATGGAGTTTTCCCATCCCTTTTTGATAACGAAGCAAATGCAACTGATGGAAATTTAAGAGGAAAATTCTTTGTTCGTTGCATAATTTTGATGAAGCTTTTCGGCTCGCTTTAGTCGCAACCATATACACGCTGTCTTTCAATTTTCTGAATGTATAACTAACTATTCATTTTCAGAAGTCAGCACGTTTCTTACTTTTATAAATTCTAATTCTGTCTCAATGAGGTATAAATAAATATGATCTGGAATGCAACTAAAATGAAGTAATTTACTTTTAAACGAATCAATACCAATATGTTTTATGTCTAGTAGGATTTTTTTATCACAATTAATCAATTATAATTTAGTCTAATGTCTTCATGTCTTTTGTTATTCGCAACTATACTTAATACCCAACTAAATTATTTTAAGACAAACAGTTCTATGAATTTGTATCCACTTTAATGGTTGCTTTTGATTTGTTTTATTTAGCTAGTCAATAGATTAGTGGGATTACTTTACTGTATTATATCGTTTCAGTCTTTTGAAACTTATCCATATTGGACGAATTGTTTTTAGTACTACTGTTAAACTTTTGAGTAGTTACTATTTATATTGTATAAAAATTACCATCCTTTCATGAGACTTTTCTCAAATTCCCACTAATCTATGCAAGTCATGTTTTTTTCTATCAGATATTAAATACTGTGTTGCTATTAACTGTTACAATAGAATTAAAATGATTTAATCAACTAAAGATTTCATGTTATTTGTTATATCAATGACTTTAAACTGCTGATTGACCGCTACATATTCAGAATCAACTTATCGTGTAACTCAGACTGACTATTTAGGGCAAGTGACTTTATTAGTCTTCATTCTCGTCTAAAAACGATCTTCTACATTACGTTTAACAATCACAACATCCCTTAAATATCATTATTTGTTCAAGTATCTGATAAGGTTGCATTTCCGATCATTGATTTTCAACTTGAGTGATTCAGCTTTATACGTGCAATAATCATGGAAATAGAAACCAATAACAGTAAACATGATTGAATTTAATTGTAAGACAATTTATGCTGATTGAATGGTATTTTTTTGATCGGATTACTATGTGCACTAAACTTCCGATTTTGGTTTTCTAACATTTAAATATACTGGGTTTATAATAATAATAATAATAATAATAATAATAATAATAATAATAATAATGGATGTTTTAAATATTTTGTTAAATTAAACATTCCATCTAATTGTTTATTTGTTTCATACTTTGATATAAAATAGTTATAAATAATTACTAACTTTTTATCTAACATTTGATGTATGCTTTGTTTCAGTCCAAAGATTATTTATTTACTGTTGACAAATATCATTTGAGTTGGTAAAAAGCTAATTCATATTTATATTAATTTTTGAAATAGTTTTTATCTTTTACCTAAATCAGTCAGTTACGAATTAAAAGCTGTCTGTTTCATCTTTATTTCAGACCACTAACCATTTAGCCCATATAGCATGCCAGTAGATTGAATTCAAGAGGTCCAACTCCCATAGTTCCTGGTAAACTCCTTGAAATCGAGTGCTTTTATGCACATTTTTATGGTGGTATTAATAAATATCATTTCAATAGACATGGTGTATGTAGTTTATAAAGGATTAGGAGTATTAATTGTAAATTCCGTTTATATTTGATTATGTATTCATACTGTTCATGCACTGAAATATCAACCAACTTACTATAATATATAGATATTTAACAAGAGCGTTTCATAAGTCGAATTAATTTCATTTTGTTGACTATTCTTGATTAAGCCAAAGTTAAAAGGAAAGATTTATGTAAGCAATATAGGATTCGTTGGAAAGTTGAGCATCTTTTCCAAAAAAATTAATATACCTGACAGTAATTAATCTCATACATAAACAGGATTAACATTGATTAAAGGTTGTTAACTGTACTGCTGTTATGACTTTTCCACGATTTGTAAAAAAACTCATCACTGACATTAAAATGGCAATGTTATAGATTATCAGATATGTTAACAGAAAAAAGTCCCAATTAAAAATAATTGGTCGATTCGATTGAATAATAAAACTCTATTTACTGATATTGTTTTATGAAATGAGATTTTAGCAACACTCTCTGCAGATTTTTCTCCCATCATTTCGACTACAGACCATTAAGATTATTGCTTACTATGCTTATTCTGTTAATAAATAAAGCTAAATCTAAGCCGATTACAGTATCAACGTGCAAAACATTTTTTTCGCACAAACACATTGATAAAAACATGTATTATTGTACATCTAAAAGCTCTAAGAAGCCATGTGAACCCTATTGAAAATTGTAGGAAAAACCTAGTACGAGCAAAAAACCTATAGACATTCAAGTATGTAGTATGTTGTTAATGCGCACTCAGAAGTAGTTAACTTTTCTTGCACAATAGATCAATCTCATCCGAGATGGCTTTTCTGTTAGATTTTATCTGAAGAGTCATAATATTAGTTGGAATCTCATTAGATGAAATAGTTTTGTTTTAGTGACCTCATTTGCGAATCTAGACAAACTAAAGAGATATGATTTTGAAGATAAAATAACCATCTGTTCAGTTACAAAACAAGTGAATTTATTCAAACTATAATTGGATAGTGATTGTAACCAGTTCGACTAATTAATTAGCTTATTGTTTAACCAAATACTTTAAGAATTAGATGAGACATTGTAAAAATGTTGCGAACATTGGTGTGATTCTTTGTCAGACTTATGCAGTAAAACACAGTTCCTAATATTTTTGATTCCTTCAGTCATGGTAACACTTATCGGTCGAAAAATATTGCAGTCATATAATCTGGTCATAGTGACATTACAGTTTTCATGTATCGACACAGCATAAGAAATTGTTATTGAACATAAGTAGTAATAACAGATAAATCACATGGTTTTATTGATTGGATTTTTTAATGCTATATGATTGGTTGGCCAAGTATGTCAAGTGAACATATTGTTCAGTGACTAGGTAAAATCATTCTCTTAGGTTTTTCATTTTTCGTTTGGTTCCTGTGACAAGAACCAAATGAACAGAGGTCATGCAGACAATAATCGTTGGATTTACCCTTTTCTTAATTAGCGTTTTCAAAACTGCAGAATCTTATACTCGATGTTCAAATATTACTAATGTGCAGCGTTTAGATTGTTATCCAAATGTTGGTTCTAATGAAGGTGAGTGCATCAAAAGAGGATGTTGTTGGGTACCTAGAAGTGAACATGATGGATTGCCATATTGCTATTTTCCAAAAGATTATTCTGCATATACTGTGATATCAACAGAGAAAACTAAACATGGTTTTATTGGACAACTGAGTAAATCTAGTCCAATATATTATCCAGATGAAATAAAAAATATTGCTGTTGAAATTAGAGAAGAAACTTCAACTAGACTTCGTATACGATTTACTGCGCCTTCACAACCAGACAGATGGGAACCATCTATTCCGCTAGGAAATGTAGACAATACTCCTGTAAAAGATTTGCAATATAAAGTTGAAATGGAGAAATCACCCTTTGGACTAAAGGTAAGATATATGCTTTTTTCTGGTCAGAATACCAATAAGCTGTTAACCGCCTTCATTTTTGTGAACATATACGATTTTGCCTAATCTTCATTATCTAATCGATGGTTAGAGACCCTGAATGACATGGTTCAAAACTGTTTACAATGGCGCAGGTGCATTCATTCCTTGTCTACTCTCAAATCCTAACTTCTGAATTCCTCATCACCTTTATCTTTTTCTTTGTGAGTTTCTTTCACTGGATTCTCGTTCTTGAATAATATCTTCAAACCCTAATCTTTCGGATTACTGCTAATACTTCTACTACCTTTACTGCTATGGGATTTGAATTGACAGTAGCATCTCTGTGCTAATGTGGTATGGCAACTTGAACTGATGTATGTGCGGACGTACGAAGTTCTACGTTGTTGACTGACTGACTGACAAAATACTATCCATGACCATCCGATAAAAGTATATTACTTTTTGTAGTGCCTTTACTCTAAGATAAAAACAATGAGGCTTATTTATCTAACTTTTCAGTTTGTTATAAATGAACATCTGCTAGTGCTTCATCCACTCGAACTGACAAAGCTACTACCTATCGTTCCTTCTGTAGGTTATCATTTCTTTTAAGCATAGCATGATTGTGGGTTTTTAGTGGTATTGTAGTGAACGAGAACACCGGTGGGGCAACCGAATTGTATTTAACGAAAATTACAGAGTTACTCAGTAAAATCGGAAAACCATATCGTAAATTGTTAATTTGCAAAATATCAGTCCATCATATCGAACTGGACTGTTCCTGTCGTAAAACATCAATCCATTGTCACTACTCATGCGTTTCATACAAATTTCATTGTGTTCTGACTTTTCCTTTCTTGATCTTTCCCCATCTTCTGCTGCCAGACATTAAGTTGACACTCACGTCATATACTACTTATAAGTAGCTCACACCACAGTATCTTGGGGCTATTCATTTTCAAACGTGAATAATTTTTAGAATTGATTTCTCCCTTCATTCTGTCAGTTTGATTGTTTTTGTGATCTACATGTCCAACTTTATTTAAAAACGGTATTACCCAAACATTTAACCTGTTGTGATACTTCTGTCTCGGATTTTGTCTAATCACGTCTAATCGTAAAGTTCAGTTTTTGGAAATATTAATTTTAATTACTGTGCCATTCAAGTAGTCTGATTTATTAATTTAAAATATGTTTGTAGTTAAATAAACTATCAGAAAGAAAAAGCATTCAGCTACTTGGTTTCAGTTCATGATGAAACACAAGCTAAGAGTTGTGTTAGATTAAACCATATATATATTTTCTGTCTAAGGTTTATTATTGATCCAAATTTTCATGAAATCTATGATCATTGAACTAGTAGCATTACTGAATAGCTTGCAATAAAATTTAATTAAAATTGTAACTCTCTTCATGAAGTTCATGTAATGAGTCAGTCCTACTTCATTTTTATTGAGATAAAATATACTACCTACCAGTTAGTCGATGGCACTTTTAGTATTCCAAAGTTCTATCCAATTTTTAATGTCTTTGAACTCGTACTTATAAGCTCATGAAGTTTTCTTGAATCATTGCTATGAAACAAATTCAGACATTTTTCCTACAAAAATAGAAACAATTTTTAGCTCACAAGAACATATGTTTGAAACACTATTGTCAAAATTTTCAATCCAGTTCGAGGCCGCCCCACAACAAAGAAGAAACAGCAGCATCAATTATCTCTATTCCAAGATTCATTTTTGATATCAAAATCAGTTACACATTTGAAGTATGGTATTCTAGAATTAGAGATCTTTTTCAAGGGCAATATAAAGAAACATAGGAAGCAAAGAAAAACGATTGGCCCACAAGAAATTATATCCTTTCAAAACATCCAAGGGGGGCTGAGTTTTGATGAAACCATTGATATCTTGAACTAGATATTTTGTCAGCAAGCATCGTTATTTTGCATCTCTTACCAATACTTTCAGTTAGTAAAGGAGATTAATAAAAATTATCTGACTTATGCAAGTAAAATCAATCTACAAGCTCAAGGTTTTAAATTAAATTCATTATCAAAAAATCAATTCAAATGTCCGTAATTTGTGTTTGGATTACAATCACCTGCAGATGCTGATGTCCTGAATCGATTATTATTGTATCCGGAACAAGATAATAAAATGACACTACAAATGATTACTGCTGGATGTCAACGTCTAGTAAACCTAAAATACGACACTACAATAGTAGGAACTAAAGAAGGAACTTCACTAAATGGTAATATTCATCCTGTTGAATCAGGTGGACAGTATGGAAACAAGAGGAGCAAATATCACTCGAAAATTTGCAAACTTTCAACTAAATATTGGTATTGTGGTGCGCTGCATTTCACAAAAATTTTTGCAGGTTCAAAAATCACGCATGCAATCAAGTTGGCCACAAAGAAACAGTTTTTCTCGAGCAAGGAGTTTGATGTCAAAACAAACACAACGTTTTTATCATTATCAAAATGAGTACATTAATAGTGTATACGCTACTCTAGCATCGCGTACAGCTATAAAAAGACGGAAACTGATGGGCTGTCCACAAGTATTACCAACCGAATATGCAGCCTGGAATGCACCCGGAGATATATAAAACCTATTTAGCACAATAAAATGTTCTATGGAATTTCGGAATAATCATTTTACTGGAAACTGCCATTTAACGATTTCTATCTTACTGATATTGATTGGATAGATAAACTAAATTTATGGGACTTATCATTCAGTCAGCTGTGCACTTTGTAAAGCTTGAATAGTTCTGAAGACCAACCCAACGTTCACGTAACCCAGAAGGTTAAAACCATTGAAGATCTTTTTCGAAAACATACAAATTTGTTCCAGAACAAGTTGGTAAATTATACAATTGGAAAAGCCAAGTAGTATTTACAAAACTGAAAAAAACAGTTTTTCGTCCTAAATGACAAGTGGCACACACTTCCATTTATAAAGCCGATAAAGAACTGGAGCGTTTAGAAAATCTTGGAACCATACAATCAGTTACTTTTTCATTATGGGTTATAGTTCTAATTGAGTCATCCACCAATGTGCCGATTTTTCTAAAGGATTATATCAAGTTTTACACGATCATTCATATCCACTACCTCTGCCTGAGAACTAATTCGTTAAACGAATTGGCGAGCATTATTTTACAAAACTTGATTTATCTGATGCCTATTTGCAGCCGGAAGTGGATGCTGATTCAAAGCATTTTCCAGATATAAATACTCATCGGACACTATAGCAATACAACAGATTGCTGTTCAATGTAAAGTCAGCTCCTGAAATCTTCCCGAAGTTCATGCATACTATGATATCGAATCTCGATAGTGTTGAAGCCTACTTGGATGCTATTATTATTGCAGGCTCCACTAAAGACAATTTATTTTCCCGTCAGAATAAACTATCTACAAGAATATGAAAATCTAGTTTTCAACGACAAAAACATATTTATGAACTTTTTATTGAATACGCTAAGTTTGTGTGGTCACACATGCAAAGAGAGGAGTAATCTGAAAATGCAATCAAGTTTTATCGACTTACTTACTCCTGTTACCCCTAATGGAGGATAGGCCGTCAACTTACTCTGTCCTGTGTCCGTCTTTCCATTTCACTCAAGGGGGTTTTGAATTCACGGGTAGCCACGGCTTCTATAAACCTTATCTCATCCTTGAGCATTGCTATACTATGTTTTAAAAGCTGTCTTGATGTCAATCCTATGCCGCATTTCGATTAAATGTTTTGCTTTCGATGAAGATGGTTTTCTATTTGCTACGTTTATCGGGTCATTTGACACTAACTGACTTTAAAGCCATTTAGGCACATGTTCAATAGCCCTTCAAACCAACATGCACCAACCAAATCACTTGACGGACAAGCTTTGGAAGATGTTGAAACCTTTACATATCTAAGCAGCATCATTGATGAGCAAGATGGATCTGATGCGGATGTGAAGGCGCGGATCAGCAAAGCAAAGGCAGATTTTCTACAACTGGAGAACATCTGGAACTCAAAACAACTACCAACAAACACCAAAGTCACAACTTTCTATACAAATGTCAAGACAGTTCTACTGTATGGAACGATAACCCGGAGAACCACGAAAGCCATCATCCACGAAATACGGGTGTTTATTAACAGTTGTTTACGCAAGATACTTCGGATCGACTGGCCAAACAATCAGCAACAATCTATTGTGGGAGAGAACAAACCAGATTTCAGTGGAGGCAGATATTAGGAAAATGAGCTAGGGGTGGATAAGACTTATATTGAGGAGAGCACCTAACTGCGTCAAATGACAAGTCCTACCTTGGAATCCTCCAGGTTAAAGGAAAAGCGAAGGACCAACGAACACTGGAATTGTAAGAAAACATAAAAGAATGAACAGCAATGGGGTAGAGGTGGAAAGGCAGATCCAGGACAGAGTAAATTGGCGGCCAATTCTCCATTAGGGGTGACAGACGTAAGTAAGTCGATAAACCTTGATTGCGTTTGCCGATTACTAATCCCTTTGCATGTGTGACCACACAAACATAAACGATTTGTCGTAACCTTAAGTTTACCCTGTTAATCTGTAAGCCATTTTATCGCTTAGAATCAGTAATGTGACAATTTCCTACCCTTTTAATGCCGTGTTAATTTTCTCTCCCCTTTATTTACGATTATCACTTCATGTTTATTTGAACTTCTATTTAATTGACCTTTTATTGATTTTCATATGGAATGCCTTGACCAGGTTGTATTGTGACCAGATTGTTAGAGCAAATACAACATGCATTTCTCAGATCAACTACGTCTTTCCATTGTTCTATCAAAATTTATAAAAGGGACAAATCGTTCTGAAATTGGAAGATAGCCAACCGGGATAAGAATAAGTCCATGTAACAGATTATACCGATGATAATCACAAAAACGGGGTGTGTTGTTAGAGACGATTTAAATGGAAACTAACAAACTTAGGAAGTTATGTTTCTAAATTCTCATTTGTACATAACGATTGTATATTGATTAAGTAGCTAGACTATCAGATATATATATACTTTTTATCATGAACTTTCCGTTAGCTGTTATCATAGGATTTATTGTTCCCACTTTGTTGATAACAGATGTGCAATAAAGAGTGATGATTTAACTACTCTATGCTCTAACGACACCCTTATACTAACTTGACCTAATCTCATGGGAAGAACAAAGACTAATGACCACCAGTCCAAGATCCGTTATTATATTTCAGATCTCACTGTACCAATAAATGGAAATTAGCAACTATACATGAATGAGCCAAAAGTGGTTGTGAGTAGGAGAGATTGTAAATAATGGACTGTCAACAAATTAGGAACAATAAATTGTAACAATTGTAACAATTAACAGAAGGTGTAAGGTAAAAAAGAATATTTATCTAACAGTCTAGTTACCTGATAAATGTGCAATCATTATGTACAAATAAGACTTCCGAAAAATAGCAGTCAAAGTTTGTTAGCTTCCATTTAAATCGTCTCTCCTAACAGAAACCTTTGATGCGTTTGACTTAAGGCATTCTGAGATATTCGCCAGCTCAGTGTTCTAGAGGCTAAACCTTCGCGTACGAGACCAGTAGTTCTGAGTTCGATTCATGCCGGCGAGGAAGTGGATGAGCACTGCTGATGAATCCCATACTACGACGAAACGATCGTCTAGGGGCTGCAGGTTTCTAATGGTGGTCTAACATTCACTCCTCAATGGGTTTCTCTTCTTATATAATTTATATCTTTTACTTTTTTAGCATTCTTCCCTCACACTATTATAATCTCTTCTACTAGTCTTTTCGTTATATTCAGCTTGCTTAATTAGCTTACAAGTGCTTATAATTTCATTTTCCTTAGTTAATTTATTTATTGAGCAATATCAGTGGTCAAATTTAGTTTATTAGCATTTGAAATAAAACTTAATTTATTTTAAAATGGTTTATATTTTGTGAAAACTTTAGATTTTGAGAAATACTGAAGAGCAAGATGTACTTTTGGACTCAACTGGACAGTTGGCTAGTTCATTAATATTCTCAGATCAGTTTTTGCAAATTTCATTTCGTGTAAACGCTCAAACAAGTTTTGGTCCTGGAGAAATAGAGCAAAAATATCCAAACACCTTCGATTCGTGGGTACGATTAGCACTTTGGGGTCATGATGGAAACCCACAGTCGAATGCGAATCTGTATGGGACTCATAATTTCTTTATGGGTTTAAAATATGATGGCAGTGCATTCGGAGTCTTCTTCTTGAACAGCAATGCACAGGAAGTAGCAACAACACCTCTACCAGCTATCACATACAGAACTATTGGAGGGATATTAGATTTCTTCGTGTTCACTGGACCGAAACCACTTGATGTACTCAATCAATATTATGATCTTATTGGACATCCACCGATACCCCCATATTGGTCACTAGGATTTCATATCTGCAGATATGGAATGAAAAATTTGGACGAAGTGAAAGAAGTTCTCAAACGAAATGTGGAAGCTGGAATTCCAATAGATGCTCAGTGGTTTGACATTGATTATATGGATGCACACAAAATATGGTCGATAGACACAAAACGATTCGGTGGAATGGACGTTTTTATCAGGGATGTTCTGCACAAGAAATATGGTATGAAAACAGTGTTAATCGTAGATCCAGCTGTCAGCACGAAAGGTGGCACCGGATATCGTCCATATGAAGATGGGATGAGACATGGTATATTCATCAACGATAGTCGAACTGGAACACCGATTCTGGGCACCGTGTGGCCAGGCGAGACAGTCTTCCCCGATTTCTCACACCCTTCTGCTGAACAATGGTGGTTCGAATCGGCATCGGATTTCCACAAAGTGGTTGAGTTCGATGGTTTATGGATAGACATGAATGAACCAGCCAATTTCAACTCTGGATCACTCAGTGGCTGTCCATCAGAGAACAAACTTGACAATCCTCCCTATGTTCCAAAGATTCTTCAGAACTCGTTGTATGACAAGACGATCTGTCCGTCAGCCTTGCATTACAACACAACACATTATAATCTGCACAATATGTATGGTTACTATATGGCTCGAGTAACGAATAGAGTTTTGACTCGAATGTTTCCTGATAAACGACCTTTCATATTGACACGTTCAAGCTTTGCGGGTTCGGGGTTGTATACCATCCACTGGACTGGAGATGTTTTATCGAACTGGGATAGTTTGAAAACTTCTGTGACGCAAATCATTAACTTCAACATGTTTGGTATTCCGATGGTGGGTGCTGACATATGTGGATTTACAGGAAATACGACAGAGGAACTATGTATCCGATGGAGTCAGTTAGGTGCTTTTTATCCATTTTCCCGGAACCATAATGAAGATGAGGCTATGGATCAAGACCCTGCATTTTGGAGTAAAGAAGCGACTGATGCAATCAAAGATTCTTTGAAGCTAAGATACCATCTACTGCCTTATATATACACTTTGTTTTACCGATCATACTTCAATGGAACAACTGTGGCTCGTGCTCTCGCATTCGAATTCCCTGAAGACCTGGCCACGCATAGAATCAGTGCACAATTCATGCTCGGTTCCTGTATTTTGGTCACTCCTGTGCTTGACGAGGGTCGATCGTTTGTTGAGGGTTATGTTCCATCAGGAGAATGGATCAACCTATCCACCGGTAAACGGTATTTTAGTCGAGGTACTTGGAAATATTTCGATGCTCCTTTGAATGTGATTCCGATTTCAATGCGTTGTGGCTGTATAGCTCCTATTCAGATTGCTGCTGAAACTACGGATATCGCTCGTAAGAAAGGATTTGGTTTATTTGTGATTTTGTCTTCAACTGATGATGGAAGCGATTCTGCTGGTCGGAGAATCACAGCATCGGGTGAATTGTTCTGGGACAATGGAGATGATGCAAAATTGAATTATGTACATGTGAAATTTGAAGTACGTGATCGTATGTTGACAGTGACTTCTACTCCTTCCAGTTCAGAAAGCTTAGCGAAAATTGATTTGAAAGAACTAGATGTTAAGACTGTGCTTATAGTTGGTTTCATCAGAAAGCCTACGGAAATTTTTGTAAATAACAAACCGGTAGATTTCATGTTTGACAGTGACTTAGGAACTTGTATAATCAAAAATCAGTCGATTTTAACTCTAAGTAAACAATCTACAATCAAATGGAAATTTTGATTATCTTTATCGTATTATTTTACATTGATCTACGTCGTTCGCTTAATTATAGATAAAATGTGTTTTGCGAATTCGTTTCCTGGTAACATTCGGATATTTTTTTGCGCCATTTTAAATTCAAATTTCGATTAACTAAATACAATTCATCTTTTTTTATTATTGCCGTACATTTATCATTATTTCTTTTGTCAACTAGTTAACGTTTCGTTTCTCAACAGCTCTTTTGTCGTGCCTCTAAATATTTTTAAATAAAGTCAATAAGTGATCAGTTATGTTTTCTGAAAAGTATGTCCTTAAAACACGACCAAGTTATTAAAATACACGCAATCATCTTTACGGGAAATATTTTCACCACTTTGATTATCACAGCTGCTTGACGTAGAGAGCATAAATACTATAAGTGTATGATGATGTAACCTGTTGGGGATGTTAGATCCCCAGAACTCGCCTGATAAATATCTTTATTTTGGATTTATTTCATAGACCGATCAGTCGACCTTGAGATCACATTTCCCACCAGGGAAATCCTTGGCTATGATTGGTTACTGTGTCATTTTAGTGTGCTATTTTTGTAACTGTCCCAAGGACGTCTCTATCGAGTATAAATAAACTCAATGTGAGTGTTCGGATTCATTGTGTGCTGGCTGGAGTGTTTGTAGAATACAGTTTCTACGCTATATCAAGACTTCTTGCTGGTACAGTCAGGTCAAGGGATCACAGTAGCCTACCTGGACGCTGGTTCATTGTTTTGTTCTCGTTATTCGACTAAGGTGAACTCGTAATAGTTTAAGCATACCTAGAGACGAGCGTAACATAAACTCATCATTGATCTCCACTGGTATTAACTATGTGCTTTGTCATACATAGCATGAGAATCAATAATATATACCTTTTACTACCTAACGATCACTAGAGTGACAATGATAGGACATTTATATGCTAAAAAGAAAAGTCCCTTTCATTAGGACTGACCATAGATTCAATTGAGTAGGTAGAAAAGTTCTTTGGAAATTCCGATCGCTGTACAATACTCAATAATCTGTGAGAGAGAATTTAATGACTGTCTTAACAACTAGGTGTAAATGACGTATACGGCAACCATTAGGATTTAGGATATCTAATGCTTAGGTAATGTTTGTCAACCAGTTACTGATATAATTTCGAGATCACTTGCATTAAAATTACATATAATGATTCTAGACCATGAACAACCATAATTTTGAAAAGAGATTCTCTTACCTTCATGAAACTTGTTAAAGAGTACGCGAGTAACTTCAGTCAAGCTGTCTCAGAGAAGGTTTAAAAAGTAATTAGAAATACATTTTATAAATAAGTTTTTTAGACCAGCATGTAACTCCTAGAATTCACTGAAAGTCTAACAAAACGTCAAAAACTAATAAATTTTTTCTAGCACCTAGGGAATTGGAAGACAAACGACATGGCTTTTGGGATTGCACGTTATTATTTTCAGTAGTTCAATTCAGTAAAATAAGCAATCAAAGTACAAAGTTCATGGAAAAAGTAGTTATTCTCTGTGAAATTGAATACGTCTTAATTTTAAGCTTAACCCTACTGATCTTACATTACATAAAACACACAGGAGAGGTTCCTTAAATTAGCCCTTAGTCACTAATTTATTGTCTTAGTATTCTGCAGAGATACTTATCACATGGCACTTTAAGGAATATCAGTCAGAAGCATAACAATAATCTAATTCTATTGAAAGTCGATATACTATGTCAAAATCTACATGACATATAGCTGAGCATGCGTACATTGCAACACATCATTTGATTTGTGTTAAAAATCTTCCATTTGCTATCGGATTTATTTTATCCATTCAAATAGCCCAAACACAGTCAGTTAAAATGTGGGACTTCGTACATGAGTACGTAAGTTCAGGTTGCCATACCCCGTGAACACAGAGACGCAGCTGTCAAATCAAACCCCATAGTGGTAAAGATAGTAGAAGCATTAGCAGAGAAGATTAGGGTTAGAAAGATAGGATTCAAGAAGTGTAATTCAGTGAGATAACTTTAGAAAGAGAAAGATAGAGAATGACGTAAAATCAGTTCTTAAAACAATTTTTAATTGAATAAATTATTGCTCGTACTTTAGCTTAGATAATGTAGTTTGTGACTTACTTTACAAAAAAAATATAAGGACTCTAGAATGATCACCTAACAGCTGACAACTTTATGGCAAAACTAAGCAATAGAGGTTCAAACTTATGAAATTACCTAAATGATACACATATACTACTGATTACAATTATTTAAATATGGAAAAAAATCAATTCAAACTCTAAATGTAATCTTCTACCTGTCGATTATTTTTATATCACAACTCGAATCAGCTTACACATTTTATTTAATTTTTCATTAGACTTCAAGATGTAACCAACTACTGTTTACAAAAAAAGTTAGTTAGTTTTCTCGAAAACAGAAGCAACATTTCGAGAAAGAGAAATACAAAAACTGGATTATATGAAGAACTCTGATGATAATCATAAAGCTCCTTATGAAGACTGACACAATTTGAAATCCATGCATCGTTTAGCTTGAAAGAATACTTTATTGATAAGTTTTGAAATTTGAGTTTGTGATGTAGATTAATGAGTGTAATAACCGAGAAGCAAAATAATTATGATCAATAACATGTCTGTTATTAATAGTAGTATTTAAGTACAAAAACATGGTTTTCTAGTAAACAAGCTGAAAATGTGATTTTTAAGAGCATTTTTTTTTAAAAAAAAATGCAAAATATCAATAAAGATTACTAATTGTAAAAAAATGTAATTTCATTAGAATGATACGGCAAAATATTGAATTTGCAATGTAATCATAACAAAAATAATCCAATTTAATGAATAGACTGGTTGAGAAGATGAGAGGAGAGTAAAACTGACCTTGAAAAATTAGCGGATAAAAAATTCGTTACGAAGCCTAATATTTCAAGGGCAATCTATACTTGGATCAGATTGTGTTCTACTAAGTGAATCAGCAAGGTAATTTAATGAACTGGATCACTTTTCATATTTTTTTTCCAGATGAAATAGTTTTGATAAGTTCCAAGTTCAGGAAAGTGTAATTACATTCACTTAATAGGGATGGTAATCAAAGAGTAGAAATTGTTTTCTGATACCTAAACAGGATTGAAATTGGCTTATAAATAAAGATTAAATAGAACCTCGGTATTCATGATAATAATTCATGGCAATAAATCACTAAAAAATGCTCCCCTAATCCTAAACATAATGATAAGATCAGTGGTAGGATTATTCACTGCACGGACTTTGCTTTAAAGTTTGAAAACAGTTTCTGATATACATGAACCGATATTATTAAAGTCAAAAAATAAATATTTTCTGAAACTAAAGTATATAGCTACAATGTTTCTATGACTGCGATGGAAAGTTATTTCCTGTTACCTCAAAATACACAAGATCTCCTTTTGTTTCTTCTCATGTATGTACATATGTTTCTCGCTTATTCTCATTGCAAACTTAATAAAAAATAAATATATTAATACAGTTATGACAAGTACCCTTAAATTATTTGATGTTTTCAAATATAAATTTAGGTTAGTCGAAACATCAGTCGAAACCAGGAACCATTCGACTGTGAATTTTATTTTATTTTATGACATTTCAAAAGTGAAGCTCCTTGGCCTTTCACATAGAATTGAAAACTGAACCTTCAAACCAGGCGATTACAACATTTGTAGACCATAAAGTCTTTATTAAACGATTTAAATTCGTAATACCAATCAATGAGATATTCTGAACAATAACGTATGTTATTGATGATAACTGTCTCACTTCCAAAAACTTTGAAATCTGTTCTGTAGGCCTTTGTCAAAAGATGCCCAACAACCTATTCTAAAATGCCTGAGTTCGATCTAGTGGGTTTTTTTTGTTCAGTAAACTATCACCTGAAAACAGTATATGATGTGAACGAAATCTTAATGGAACAAATCCTCACAGATAGCCCATCATAATATTTTCAAACATTTCATTTCATGACATCTTATTTAAGCTTGAATGAATATAATTAACTGCACAGAAAACTGATAAAATGTCATCCAATGTTCAAAGAAAAACTTTTTATTACCACTCAAACGAATAGAAACACCCCTAATCGTTGATAACATCCGAACTTAAATAAATTGCAAATATTTTGTGCTGCTAATAAGTTACTACTGAATAATTTCAGTAGTCAAGTTCATAAAATGAAACTATAATGTTCACTCTAATCTATAGTATTATTTTCATGCATTAGTGGAAAATATTAAATTAGTCAAGGCAGTTTGTGAGTCTAGTAGATTACATAACAAAACATAGATAGTAAAAAGTAAAACTTTAAAGCAGGATAATAGGTGTACTAACAGTGATGCAAATAGTAAAATGTTTAAACTTAGGCATAAGGTCAAAATATGATTATAACGACCATTTAGAACCAGTTCAGTTGCGTAATAAGATGTATTCGAATAATTAAGTGGTTCAGAATGAATGCCTAAGTGGATGAAGAAAAATAAATGAGTAAAAAATCCAGCAAATAATAACAATATTTAATTGTTTGTTAAGCCTTATTCGGCCTAAGAAGCTACAGTTGTTAAATTCTTAAAAAATGCATATCATGGGGTTGTGCATTCGAATTCCGATAGCGTCTGCTCAGAGGAAAAAAGAGAGGGAAGGAAAGGGAAAGAAAGAGAAAGAAGAGAAGGGAAGGAGGGGAAGAAGGAAAAGGAGGAGGGGGAAAGGGGGGGGGAGAAGGAAAGGGGGAGAGGGGAAGGAGGGGAGAGGGAGAAGGAAGAGAGGAAGAAGGAAGAGAGGGAGAAAAAAAAGGAAAAAGGGAGGAGAAGGGAGAAGGAAGAAAGAGGGGAAAGGAGAAAAAGAGAAAAAGGAGGGGAAGGAAAAGGGGAGAAAAGAGGGGAAAGAGGGAAGGGAGAAGAAAGTAAGAAGAGGAAGAAGGAGAAAAAAAGGGGAGGGAGAAAGGAGGGGAAAGAAGAGGAAGAAAAAGGAGCGGGGAGAAGGGGGAAAAGGGAGGTAAAGGGAGAGAGGGAGAAAAGAGGGGGAAGAGGAGGAAGAAAAGGAAAGGACAGACGAACGCGGAATGATAAGAAGAGGACATGATCAATTCCGAGGTACTTTAAGGGTGAAAGAAGCTCAAAGCCTCCGCCTTATTAACAACATATCACTTGATAAGAGGCAATAGTCATATCATTGCGCCAAACCTCGCAATCGAAAAATTCATAGAGGATACAACCCCAACGTATCACATGGCTTTTTTCCGCAACCCCCCCCCCAATGCCCCATCTTATT